AGATTGTCAGTTATGGAAATATGATGGTTATAAAAAAAAAGCTAATAAAATAGATGAAATATTGACAATATGCTCATCAATTATTGATATGTTGGCTGAGAATACAAGTGATCTTTTGTATAGAAATGTCAAAGCAATTGATATTCTCAACAGTTCCCGTCTGAATTTGATTACGCTGACGTTCTATGCACTTTTTCTCTTTTTCTTTTTGTATCTCTTTGGCGATTTAGCTCAGTTTTCTCTATTACAGCTCGATTTACGCACAAGAACAAACGATTTTTTTTATAACTCGACTATTGAATTTCTCTTTTCTATCAAAAAATTCCTTATGTTCTAATTCGCTTTGTACTGTAATCATTTATCAACAAAACCAAATTCTTCACACATTTCCAAGTAGGGAATACATTTGATTTGTAAAATAAATAAAGATGAAAAGTGTACGTTAACTGTTGACATACGGTCCGTACATAATGAATTCCGTATAATTAAGGGCACCATTTGTTTTCTAAATTATTCGTCTCAGAATAGAAAATTCATTGATTAAGTACGTTATTTTTCTTGCATCAGATAAAAGCTGCTCGTTTTAAGCTGATTTATTAACATTATCATTCTGCGCATTGAACTTCGAGAGCAAGTCTGTGTATTTTATTTGATGAATTATGATTAGACCACTGTTCTATTCCCGTTTTTTTTTCTTGTATTTTCACCACATGAGGTCAATTAGTATAAGATATACAAAAAATCTATTCAAGCAAGTTTACATACTGAGATAATAAATCTTCTTCATATGAGTTTATTATGTCGCGTAAGACTTTCTTTCTTTCTTCCATAAGAATATCATCAGTTGTGATAGGTAGCAGAAGTTTCGTATATTTTGATTATCGAATGTGAGAATTCCTTGATTGTTATTGAGAAGATCCAGAAGTTCCACGCAGTCGTGTTTTTGTCAAGAACTTGAGCAAAAAAAAAGTTCTACTATCATATTCAATTAAAGTAGAAAAACAAGAAAAGCTCATTGATATAAAACGTCATCACGAATGTTCTTTTTTATTCTGGGAAGCTTCTCGACGCTTTTTTTCCTTACTTGAATATAAATATCAAGGCACGTTTCTTAGAAAAATGTATTCTTCACAAACAACGGATGAAAAATTCAACATGATTGGTCAGCGAGTAATGATCATTTTCGGCACTTTAATGTGTATTCTTGGTTTAATTGGAAATTGTTTAAATATCTTCATATTCACCGTTTGGTATCGTTCACGTAAATCGCCAAATAAGTTTTCCAATTTCAATCGATCAAGAAATAGTTTATTATATCTACTTGTTTCATCATTTGCCAATTTAATTATCATTATTTATCCTCTTTCGACTCGAATTCTCTTCGATGGTTATCAATATCATATCAACGAACCACATATATTCTTCTTCTGTAAATTCCGTTATTATATTCTTCATACATTTTATTTGATTTCATTAACAACAATTTGCATGGCGACATTTGATCGATATTTAATTTCGTCACGCAATCCGCATTTGAGAGAATTGAATTCAACGAAGAAACAAACGATTGTTATTATTGTTTTCATTTGTTTAATTATCGGATTACATAATATTCCAATTGTTTTTTATTTCAATCTTTCGTCCGATGGAGAATGTGTGATATTCTCGTCTGCTTATTCATATTATTATTTATCCATTTTTCGAATATTGTTGGAAGGATTGATTCCAATCTTATTTCTCTCGTTATTCGGAATATTGACATTTAAACAGCTGAGAATATTGGAGAAACATAACTCAAATAATCATCTGAATAGTGATCGTCAAGTAGCACGAATGTTGTTACTGATATCGATAACGATTATCATCTCATCGATTCCGAATTGTATTGAACAGGTGTATCAGATCGTGTTCATTTATGATGATCGTCGACATTCATCAAGTTTCTTTCTGTTTCATGTTATCTCGTCGATATTATTCTACACGAATCCGGTGATGAGCTTTTATATTTTTTATATTTCTACGCCAAACTTTCGCCATCAACTTCGATGTTTCATTCCGCATAAAAAAGCAGTGAATTACTTCGTTAAACAAGAAGATTCTTCGAAAAGCGTACCATTAACTTGAGAAAGAGTATTTTCGCTTGTTCAATATGTATGTCAAAGTGAAATTGAATATTATTGCACGTCATTCAGCTCTTGACCTAATGCGTATTAAGAGCAATTAAAACGATGAATAGAAGAGATGTGACGTGTATTGAAGCGTAAGTTAACAATAAATATACTAAAAATAGAGGCTATTTTCCATTAGAAAACTCTTTCTATTCTAAAAATAAAATTTTAATTATCTTCAACTAAATATTTTATGAAATTATATAACAAGATAAAAAGGAACGTTCATGTTAAAATGTAAGGGAAAGAAGAGAGGATTTGCAATTATCGGATACTCATGACTCTTTTTCAAATCCTAGAATATATAACAATCCGCCTTTATTGCCTAGCGTAAAGCATCGTCAGGACGCATCATCTGATCTCTGTAAGGTCATTACTATCGAGAAAGAATGTTTTTATATGTGTCGGAAACTGTCGTATACCGAGCAAAGGAGCTTCTGCAGTATGAAAGAATACGATGCAATTACATTTTCATGATATTTTACGGGATAATAATTTTTAGTTGAGGAACAATCAGAATTCAAGATTCCTACGGTGCGATCATTCGATGTGACCTTCTTTTTTATTTACTATAATTCGACTAGAATAGGTTAATCGATGATGTTTTCTTTGGGCTGTATCAGCATGTGTAGAGTGAACTGATTACCACCAATTCAGTACGATATGGGAAAAACAAATGACTTATAACTGTTGTTATTTATGCGTGCAACAAAAAATGATCTTTTCTTTCGATCTTCTCATGTGTCTCAAATATCCATGAAAATACATTTTTTTCTCATAAGAATAACGTTGTATTGATATCACAATGACATTCTATGTCACTGTGATTTTTCTCATCTCTCTTTTATTTGATCATTTTTGATATACACTCACATATTCATTATTCGACAACTAGTTGAATTATTTAAAAGTTTACTATCGATTACTGACAATTATTAAGAATGAAATCACTCTGAATAGTCGTGATGTAATCTTTTTCTATTTATTGTTCAATCATCAATGTCAGAGATGTTCACAATTGTGCCTTTATTTTTTCTGTGCATCCAAGTGTATTTGAATTGCAATTCGTGATCGTATTTATTTCTCATAAAGAATTCTCCGATGGATGCATAGTGCGTATTTATGATGAAATAAGATGACATTTTTCAAAATATGGAGATCCGATCTTTTGATTGAATACATCATGTGATTTCATTAATTCATAGAGTACCAATAAATCAAAAAGAAAATTATGATATACTATCACAATCGGTGACCAAGACGGAAAACCGAATCCACAACATGTAATTTCTTTTACGTACATGTGTATGTACTTGAATAAATCACGAGAGCAAGAAAGTTTCATTTTCTACACATGTGTTTTAAATTTTGTATGTAAAATAACTCTTCCTAGATATTAGAAAAAGCATAATGAAAGGTCTTTATTCACGATTTCTGCGTATAATTAACTTGTCAGCGATTGACAAAAGTCAATAAAGAGAAAGTAAATACTAACTAGTGGCATCAAAAACACACTACGACGCTCAGATAGGCAATACCATTCAGATATTATTCGAGACGAAAAAGTTTCGTCCCGCCGGATCCTAACTGAGAAGCCGTAGTGTATCGACTAAAATTTGAATGTGTAAAAAAACATAAAGGGTGTTGTGCCCTACGCTTCTTAAAAACGTGCACAGTTTATTTTGGGACGTAGTAGCAGCGCACTTGAATATTACCCGTGGATAATCGCACAAGGATCTGGAATGGATAGATCTCATTATTCTTCACAAAAATACTGCGTCTGTAGTAGAGTTTTTTTAGAAACCTCTATTATAAGCTACAAAAAGATATTGCTGCTAATTTCAATGCTTATCAACGAACGGATTCTTTTGTATCAATCCAATACTTGACGATCATCGAATTAACACGTTCTTTGTCAGTTCTTCAATCGATTATCTTCACATGACGACCTATATAGCCGGAATCCAACTATCATCCCACATCTAAGCGATGATCAATACCTTGACGTCATCATTGCTACTTCAGCTACTGCAATTAGTACTGCTTTTCTTGAAACAGGTTATGGAACATTTCTCAACCAAACTTCTTTTCCAACTGGAAATCATTCATTACCATGTTCAGTTTGTGTTGTTCATCTCGATTATGATACTTATTTGGATCTTGCGGTTACAAGATATGCCCATAGAAATGTGAAAATTGTTTTGATTAAAGATTGGAAGTTTTTCTTTCGAAACAACGTATTCATCTGGTTCACTATCTGATCCATATTCAAGTTTGTCATTTAGAGAGGCAAAGAGAAGCAAACTAACAAATAGGTTGTATATAACTGTTATGTCCTTATTAAAGATGAAAGGAAAAGATTAAAAAATTCAACTAGTTTTCAGCGGTTAATGAGCATATCGGCAAAATAGATATTGTGAATTTTATCGATGACCACCAGTTCAGAGTCTGTCATAAACGCCAGTCGGATATTAGTGGAATACTGCTTCCGGAATCATCGTCTCGGGTAATGACTCATTATAATGATTCCCGATCCGTGTAATTCGTGGAGGAAGACCCGGGAAGTGGAAGTAGGAATTCTTTAACCGGATCCTGCGAACAGTTTTACTTGATTCATTTCAGTTGCGGGGATAGAACCAAATGATTCTGTGAGCCGAATCTGTTCGAAAGATCCATAGCTTCTACTTTCGTTTGATTTCATCTCTTCCTTTCTGATTCAACTCGTATTTTCGACACGAGTAATCATAAAGCCTTGAGAATTTGGTTAACTCCAGTAATCCAAGACAGCTTGCGACGCAGACGATGCAGGGAACATTTGAAGCAATTTTTTGCTTAATGTAGATTGACATACTCATGAGGATTATACAATAATAGTAGAAATTGAAATCTAAACAAGAAAGAAAAGAGATCAGTTATAGATTCATACTTGAATGTGGAAAAGCAATAATAAACAACCAAGCAACTAAGATCGAATTCAAATTCACATCGAACGTTCCAGACGAGTCACGAATAAACATACATATTTATACTATGGTTTCACCAGATAGAAATGATTTCGATAAACGTCATGTTGATAATGTATTACAGTACTTTGCATTAATGGATTCAATCACTCAAACCATCAGGAATTCAACGTAAGAATGCGACAGTAGTTCATAAACTGAGGATTTCGAGAGTAGAACTACGGCCGGATCCAACAACGGGATGATATCAGATTATCCGAGGATTCGTCGGGATCCTGCGAGACAATTCTAATCTGGATCGGTTTGAATAAAGCAAACACAAGAGATATTTAGGTGTTAAGATGGTCGGATGAAAGTGTATATAATTTCATGTCAGCGTTTAGGAAAATGTCGCTCACTGAATTACGCCAGTAGTGAAGAAAATGAAATATTGACTTTTAGTGATATAGCTACATAGGGTTGTTAATAATTGCTCGTAATAGTCACTTCAATTTTCACCCTGATTAGTTTTATCCGTTATGTTGTTATACTTTAGTACGGACATCTGTCCTGTATTAGAGCACTAATACGATGTTTCACAAGCGTTACTTAGAGGAAACCATTAATGAAATATTTCGATACCACTTCTTTCATGTGGGAAAACTAGCTATTCGTTCGTATATAAGAACCTGATTTTTGTTGAGTTTTATTATGTATCAGATGCTGTTTCATGTAGTACAATTGCTAACTGGGTACAACTATTTTCAAGCGGGCGAGTCATTGAAAGATGATCCTCGAGTCGGTCGTCAAATAACCATCGTTACTCAACAAAATATTGCTGCTATGAAATGTTTGATGGAAGATGATTCACATATTAGTATAGATTATATTGGTCACGCGTGTGAGACATATCACATGGTAGTGTTGATACAATTCTCAAACATCATCTTAAGCTAAGAAAAATGTCTTCGAGTTGAGTGCCTCATAAGCTTCCCCAAGAACAACGATAAAGACGTATGAATATTTGCATCGAAAACTTACAGAAATTTGAAAAATAGAACTGAACGTGGAAATTAGGTGATATGGTTACCGGTGATGAAAGTTGTTTCTATCACTGTGGAATGAAATCAAGAGAAATTTCAAAGGGTATGTTTATCGAAAGAACAGCAGCCTCCAACAGAAGTCAGACGGTGTTTGTTATCTTTTTTATGACATCTGGCCCATTGCTTATTCATCTATTGTTACCAGGAACGTCTAGCAATGCTTTATATTATCGTGATGAATATTTAAAAGGTTTTGTTCGAAAGTTACGGAAGGAAAGACCATTATCAACAACACATGGTATTAAACTTCATGAGGGCGTATGTTGTTCTTAACATTCTCGATTAATCAAAGATTCATCGTAATTAACGAAAAACTTTCGTCGAGTATAAATGTTCTTATCAAATTCTCATTCTCTAAATACTAGAGTATACGAACAACTAGTGATTATTCTCTGACACATTGACCTTTAATTGATTTGATTAAAACTCAGTGCTTGCATGACATTCTGCATTAATGTAAAAACAACATTGATAACATCTCCACTTGTTATTGTTTTCTTAATTAAAGAGAACACATACAACTGGTCGATATTGCGAGACTTATTTGATGAATGTCAAGTAAAAACAAATTTTTTTTCCAGTAAAATATCCAACGAAAAAGTATAATAAAATAAAATTCTTTTTTACGTGTATTTATTCACTTTTCTGTTACTGTTGACGAAATTCATGGTCGGGATTCGGCTTGTAGTTTTTTGTGTTGATGGTGGAGGAGTTCTTGGCATTGGAGGAGTTTTTGGCGGAGTTTGAATACTATTTGTCATTACTGATACATCTTTCTCATTCGGTTGAACAAGCAATTGACATTTCGTCAATAAACGGAGATGAAGTAATTCGAAATCAACGCCTAGTTTTTCCTTATTCATGGTTTCTAGATAAGGCTCACCACCATAGATCAATTTTTTTTCACTTGATTCCTCCCATTCAGCTACCATTCGATGTAAATCATCAGTTAACTTCGGAAATTCACGTGAGAGATCTTTTCCTAAAAGGAGCAAGAGAGAAATCAAACTTTGGATGTGTGAAAGTGAGTCTTTACGGAATTTTTCTTCTTTTAATAGTTGAGTTGAATTTCCTCGGAGTCTTGCTGGGTCTCCTGCATGTTTCTCAAATTCCACCATCTCTTTTTTGTACCATTCTCGCTTTTGAATTTTCACCAAAATCGTTCGAATAGATTCGACATAAGCTTCGAGTCGATGAATTTCATCATTCATTGCTAAATAATCGTCTTGATTCTCTTTTGTTTTAGGAACAATACGTTGATTCTCAGGAACGTCTAATTGATCCCATAAAGACGTGAGTTTCTTGCGAGCTTCTGCACGTAACGATGCAGTTAATCGTTCGTACGTTTGACGAATTTCGTCCAAAGTTGAACGCGATGTTAATTTATGCGGAAAATCTTTCAATAAACTTAAATATCTCTTTCTCAAACGTAAATCTGCTAGTTCTTCTCGTAAATCTTTCGGAGGCGATGGTTCATTTTGTTCAAGTTCAGCACGAAGACGAACAACTTCCTCTCGAAGTTTACTGATCAAAATCTCGTACTCGCTTGAAAGTTTTGTACGTAGCACTTGACCGTTCAACGGCTGATGCGTTGTTAACCATGACAATTCATTGCTAGTTGATAAATAAGATTTGACATGAGTGGATTGCTGAGATGTCGATTCCGGATTGAGAGATTGAATCTGATCGAGAAGATGTTGAATTTCTTGCTTCAATTTGCTAAGCTGATTGTTTAAATCAGACAGAATTGAATGAGCATCATTTGTCGACTTAATCTAAAGAGAAAGTCTTGATCAATGACGAAAATATTTTTCCTTTTCAATGGTTTCATTTCTGATTCTTAAGTACTGTAATATATCCCATAAATTATGTATTCAGAATGCAGAAAAAACATCGCAGAATTTTACATATTTAGTTAATGGCCAAATAAGAAGCAAATCTAAGGTCGATTCTTCGATAAAAAGTGGCATGATAGACTTGTATTATGAACAGTATGCTTGTTGATCGAAGAAACGATCAAACTTTCGAATCGCGAACACGATGGAGATTGATAAGAGAAGACAAACGAAGGTATAAAGGGAAAAAGGTAGAAGGCCGTCATAAAGAATCGATCAAAGATATTTCCCTTGACTCATATAATAGAATTTGTTCATTTAATAAAACATTAACCAGATCCATATCCTTCGGAACACATCAATGAAAAGAAAATGAATTTTTCTTCTTCTTACCTCGTCAACATTGATATGAATATTTCCAATAAATTTCATTTTTATTGTAATTGATTCTCTCAGCTGAATCAATTCTTTATCACGTTCAAGTATTAATTCTTTTAATTCATCGATTTTCTCATTAATCAACTTTCGTTGTGCCATCAATGTCAATTTTTGCCTATCGATTGAAATCCTCGGTAATTGAAGTTCATCGAATAGTTGAAACATTTGTTCCGCTAAGTTCTTCACGTGATTTTCCAATTCATTTCGTTCTTGTTCGTAAATCGCTAAACGTTTCCGGAAGAACTCTTGAGTATCTTCGATAAATGCTCGACGTTCTTTGTCACGATCAAGTTCTAAATCTTGAAGTAAATCTTCTAGACGCAGCCAGGTTTGATTGGCGATTTCACCAAGGAGGTGCATGACTCGACGGTTTTCCGCGTGGCCTATGAAAGAGAAAAATATCACAATAATGTGTCATATGTGTCGACTAAACTCGCAGCTGACGAAAAAAGAAAACGAAAAACGAGGTGGCAGCAGATTGAAGTAGAAAGAGAAGGAAGGAGCTATTGAATGAATACAAAAGAGAACAAGAAGAGAATAGGAGAGAAGAAAAAAAAGTGGATTTGATCGATGTTCATTGAATGTGCGGAAGATGATGATGTAAAGCGAAATAAAACACGTTTCGCAGACCTTTTGCAGACCTTTTTTTTTCAAATTTCGTTCTTTTTTGTGTTATCTTTATCAATTTTGTTGACTTTTATTTATGATTAATCTTAGGACAACGTTTGTTGAAGATAATGATAAATAAATGTTAAAATTTTCTTTTCGCGTCGACTTTTATTGAACAATCAGGCGATTTTCGTGTCTGATGAATGAAAACATCGTTTTCTTCGGGGTAAAACATCGTCTTAGCAGTAATATGAACAACTTGTGGAGGAGTTTGAAAATTTTTACATCAATTCAATTACGTAATTCCATTATTGACCATGCATCACGTAGTTTTATAAAAAGGAAAGAATTTCGCTGACCGATAGAAGCAATTTCGACATTTTCATCTCGTAACTTGATCATCTCGCTCATTTTGACACGCAATTCTCAAACTAATAAACTTCGACATATAAATTTGTCACTGGCGAGTTTAGACCATCGTCAGAACATTTACGATTCAATATTCCTTATGAACTTGATGTAAACAGACAAAAAACTTGACATTTGAAGAAACCCAGAAATCTAATCGGATGTTGTATGATTTTGACGCCTAGTCAAAATACAAATTAACCTACTTTTGTTAAAAAGAGCACTGCTGATACGATGATTATTTTGAGGTAATCTTCGGCTGATATAGAAAACTGGAAAAGCTTATGATTGTATGGTTTGTCCTATCACCAGACGAGAATTCTTGAAAATATTTTACATATTGATCATCAAAAAAATCGATGCCAACAAGGATTTTTTTCACGATAGATTTCCGGCTATCGTGAGATGAAAAACACACAAACAAAGATAGAAGAAGAGAAATTGCAAGGCAAAATGAGTAAAAATACAAAGAACAGAAGGAGTTTAGACAACACCGGCAAATATTAAGAAGGAAACGAAAACGCACAATTTGAAAATCGATTCTATGTTGAAGCTGATTCTTTTAACTTTGTTTCGATATTTTCAGTTGAAGGCGAAGGCGAATCCTTTTCTCGTTTAACTTTTTTCGATGATCTCGATGAAGACGAAGTTGACGAATGAGATCCGGGTGATGTCGATACTTTCGGACTGACTCGCGGTGTTTCGTCAGTTGTAATTTGTTCAGGTTTTGACGAAGGTTTCGATGTTTTACTCATTGAAGCAGGAGCAGCGCGTTCACGTCCATTGATCTGCTCATGCTGTTGTCGTATTGAATTGAGAAAATGTTCGCGCTGCATTAGTGCAGCGGTCATCACCGACGAATCGAGATTTGGAAAAAGATTCGGCGAACCATTCGGACGAAATGTCGATGAATCGAGATTTGACGGAAAGAAATTATTTGGGGAGGAATTCGATGCGGCGTTAAATAGAGATGCATAAGCAGCGGATAACCGTTGTCGTTCGATCATCGATAACGTCAACGGGTCTAAAGCACCGAATGTTGGTGGAAGAGGAAGTGAAGGTAAACCTGATGCGGATGACTTCGACGTATCTGAGATATTTGCCGATTTCACAGTCGGTGAATGACGTTTCCGTGAAGATGAATGTAATGGTGGAGAAGATAAGGAAGTCTTAGTTAAGAAATTCGACGAGTGATGATGATGTTGATGATGAAGTGATGGATGAGGTGAACGAGAACGAGAACGATTTGATGATGAAGAATAATTGGCATTTGCTAAATGTGATGGGGGAAGCATTAAATGAGAAGAAGAAGAAGAACGACGATCATCGTCATTATTAAGAACAGATGATGAACGTTTTTTACTAAAAATGAAAACGAAAAAGATTTTAGCAATTCCGTTCTGAAGAAATTAACGTGAACCTACTTGTCGTAATTACTATTAGATGTCTCATCGAGTTTCTTCGATGATGAATTCTCATTTATGGATGAAAGAGATGGCATAGGTGGAATCATCGGTGCTGGTCCCATACCACGATGAAATCGTGACCAATCAAGACCAAGAGCAGCAGCTGCAGCTACTGGCCCATTCATATCTGGTTTTCGATCGATCGTCAAGGAAGACGAAGGAGGACGAGGAGGAGGCGGTGGTGGGAGTGGTGCTGAAGGAAATAAAGATCCCAGGCCACCGAATGCAGTCGTTAACGGCGATGATGACGATGACGATGATGATGGAGGAACACGACCAAATGGTCCATTGCTGTTCAAACCAGCAAAATCAAATGGCGATCGATAATCTTAAACAATCAGAAATAGATTCAAATTATTACTTTTAGAAAAGGATCAATACTGAATGCTGGCGGAGGTAAAAGTGCTGATGGATATGTCGAAGGTAATTGAAGAGGTGCGTCATTAGTTACTGATGGTAAAAGTGGCCTTGTGTTTGTGATTAAATCAGGTAATTTTGTATTTAATGAAGATTTTTGTTGTTCTTCGTCTTTTTTATTATCTGATGGAGATAGTTTTTCTTTGGAACGTTGTTGTTGATGATAAATCATCCACGATATTCTCACATGTGCTTCACACCATTTATTCGATTTCTACAATCAAGAAAAGAAGATTAATCAAATCTCTTTCATTTGTTCGGCGTACTTTTGATGAAGGTGATGACACGAGTTCTTTCGTTGATGAATTGTTATTAACATTATTGTTATTATTATTAGCTGAATTGAATGGTGGAAAGATCGGCGGAGGTGGTGGCAAAGAGAACTAAAACGACAAAATGATCAAGTCATTCAGAAGCAAACTTTTCGCTTTACGTTATTCGTTCGCAAAAATGGTGAAAGCCCATTGTCTGATTTGGATAATTTGTCTACCTGAATAAAAGATTAGATTGTTAAATCATTCTGCTCGTGTCACGAAAGAAACTTAACATACTAATGAATTATTAATAGTTCCGTTTATTAATGAATTATTCGATGGTGTTAAAATGTTTAAATTATGTTCANTCAAGTCATTCAGAAGCAAACTTTTCGCTTTACGTTATTCGTTCGCAAAAATGGTGAAAGCCCATTGTCTGATTTGGATAATTTGTCTACCTGAATAAAAGATTAGATTGTTAAATCATTCTGCTCGTGTCACGAAAGAAACTTAACATACTAATGAATTATTAATAGTTCCGTTTATTAATGAATTATTCGATGGTGTTAAAATGTTTAAATTATGTTCATGTGTGTGTGTATGTTGATGATAATGTTCGGCACGAAGAAACGGAGGTAGCAGAAAAGCTGGAAGTCCATTTCCATCTAATGGTAAGTTTGTCGTTCCAGGTGCCGTACGAGTGGAATTAATATCGTGTAAATATCGTGCATTTAATTCGCGTAACAAATCCGGATCGAGTGAAAAGTCTGCGAAAAAGAAACAAAGGTTGAAGATTTTGGCGAAAAGTTCAGGTTTACTTGGCGTTGCGGATGTTTTTCGTGACATAGATGATAATAATTTATTTGAACGATGATCTTCTAAACGAAGAAGAGAAGGAAAAAAATGAATTGTGTTCAAGGTTATCAAGACAATATTTGATGTGTTTTATTTCAATGTTGTCAAATCGATTAAGAAAAAAGAGACATAAGGATCAAGCGCAATGTTGTCTGAGCTGGATAAGCCAAAAGAAGACATATAGAGAAAAGTAAGAAGAGGATGAAATTGATCCGACTATCTTTTTTCTATTCTTGACGAAAATCCTTCTTATAGTCAATTTCGATTAAACACTTTGATTTAGGCTGATGAATTTCTCGCTGTCGACATTCAGATGAGAACTTACTTAAATTATCAAAAAGAAATGCTTGTTGATGAAGATTATTATTCATTGTTAATGGTAAATTTGTATTTGCTGCATTTGATCCAGGTATAAACATAATGTCTTCAATCTATCTATAATAAACTAAAAGTGTTGACACCTGCAGTGCTTCTCATTGATTCAATGGGTCACACATTGTCTATGTTATTTTCTCTATTTAGCAATCTTTCTTCTCTTTCTCTCCTTTTCTTTGCTTGCTCGTCGCTAATTCATATTTCTTCATCTCAAAACTCAAGTGTATGCACGCACACACTTGAACCAACATACACACACACACGAACATAATTTAAACATTTTAACACCATCGAATAATTCATTAATAAACGGAACTATTAATAATTCATTAGTATGTTAAGTTTCTTTCGTGACACGAGCAGAATGATTTAACAATCTAATCTTTTATTCAGGTAGACAAATTATCCAAATCAGACAATGGGCTTTCACCATTTTTGCGAACGAATAACGTAAAGCGAAAAGTTTGCTTCTGAATGACTTGANTTCTATGCATGCTGCTCTCTTTCTCTTGATGTTAGTTGATGGTATAGTAGTTGTTATAGTCTGCTATTATCATCGAAATACATTCATTCGTTCGTTCGACAAAAGTGCATGCAAGATAAATGACATTGATTGTGTATAGATGTGAAAAGAGCATGTGATGATGATTGAGGGGAAAGTGAACTTCGCACGTCACGTCGCCACACCTCATTGCAAAGGAGGAGAAAGAAAATGAGTGAAACTTGACGCGCACACATACACACATGTATATATATACTCATACATATAACAGCGACAAAGATGACAATGACGACGATAAACTCTCTTATAAATGCGCGCGTCGTAGGCTTGTAGTCTAATCCCACGTGTGCGTGAGCACGTCATCATCAGACAGACGAGAAAAGAAAGTGTGCGACTAATCCGACATAGCAGTAACAGCGCAACCAGTCGTTTAACCTCCGCCAAACACGAAGAAAAAAAAGAGAAGAGTAAAGAAAGGATCAAGACAAGGGAGATATTGTTCCTATAATTGAATCAAATCCAAGGACAATGATTGTAAGACAAAGTACCAATCTTCTTTTTCAATGCTCAATTAGAGAGATGTCATGTTTTCTATTCAACCTGCTGTGAATAAATGATTGAGTAGAAACGACTAAATAGATCAAGATGGAAGCAAATTCTTCCCAGATGTCTTTATTTCTCGTCATTTTTTTTTGCCTCGTTCTTATTCATCATTAAAACTATTCTATTATTCTTATTTGCAATCGAACAAAATCAAATTAGGAAATACATGACATAAAGCATAATTCTTATTATCTGGATCTTCTAGAAACACAAATTCTTATTTGTTCAAATCGAATTACTTACATCGATCGAATAAATAAACAATTTCTGAAAGACGAAGGATAAGTCTTCTTTTATTCGAAGAAAATATTTTCTCATGCAAAATCATATTTCTCGTTCTTCATATTTCTCTCCTTTTATTTTAGTCAAATGTTTTCAATCGTGTGCAAATAAAATATATCTAAATGTATTATTATTACTAACATTATTTCCGTTTCGGAGATTGTCAATATAATATACATGTTTAGAAGAGTTAAAAAGACAAATTCTCTTTTCGAGACAACGTCTATTTGCAAAAGATTGAATATTTATAATGAAATAAGCAGCAATTTTGAGTCAATAATCGGTTAGAGGCAAGAACAACATTTGCATAGAAGGATTTACAAGGAAAGCTGTGACGGAGAGGTCTTTTCAGCTAATTCAAGTCAAAATCGATCGATTGAATGGTCGAAGAAGAGAATATGATTGGAAATTTAACAATGACAAATATCAAGAGAGTCGATCAGATTCCAGATTTAAATCTTTATATATATATTATTCAAAGATTTATCTCAATTTTCATTACAAATCTACGTAGATGTCTCACAAGTTGTTTTTTGGTTAAATATTTCTTTGTAATCAAATACTTTCAAAGTATTTATTCCCAAAATAGGTTGTATACGATAGACATTGTCAAATTAGCGAACTCCGAGCAAAAAGTATTCTGTACGATTGTACTTGATATAGGTCGAACATGTGAGAAATCGAACAAATGCCTTCGTCGTTTGAACAGCTGATATTTCTTCACATTTGAAAATGATCAAATTGAATGAGGTTAGATCTCGTTTCCATCAAACTGATTTTGTAAATAATGGCAAAAAAAAAACCTAAAGAAAAAGATATAATATAAATCTAAAATTAAATCTGACATATTGATATTAATCATGTATATCTCTAGCCATCAATCTTTTTCAATTAGAATGTATCTTTACGAAAACCTTGAACTATCATTGCTTTCGTAATGAATGAATGCGTTCACTATCTTCAAGGTTTTGTGCATCGATGACGGAGAATGTTTCACACGACTCATTTACAAATAGCCTTCTATCGACAGGTAAGCTTTTTTTTTGCTTTAAGATATCGTTTTTCCCCCCTCTTGTAATATGTGCTTCACTTATGATCAGAATAGATTTTCTATATCTTCAAGATATTTTCATCGAAGCCACTTTGTCTTTTTTTTTTGAATTATTTTCGTGAGAAAAGGTCATTAGAAGTTCTTTTGCTATTTAAACAAGACAATGATAATCGAATGAATCAGTAACATGTTGATTGTGTCTTTTTTGTTAACTACGAAATAATCCTTATCAATATCTGATTGCATCATTGTTTGCCATGTTCTAAAGCTTCGATCTATCCATTCCTTCTTCTTTTTATCGATACATAAACAAAACACGCCTTCGTCAACTCATAAAAGCTACTTTTTTTCCTACTTAAATTATCGGCATAGTGTTTACAAGAATATCCATTAGACACAGTATCATGCGTAATACATTATTTCTTTTTTATCGGTAATCGAGAGTCGATTTGATTAAATGAATTTCCCTTTGTATATTTGATTATTTTCTAGCACTTCAAGAAGAGATAAGGATAGATGAAAACATACAAACAGATACAAACACAAAAAGAAGATTTTTCAGATCTGACTACAACAGATTCAATTAATTTGATGCTTCTTCATCAGGTACAATGCTATTTCCATTTGTTGATGTTCCATTATTAAATGATCGAGATGGTTGAACTTTCTTCAAACTAAAATATAAAACGAAATTGTTGATGAATCATCGTTGATTTGTTTTTTTCTTATGAATAATTATTTCATCAAAGGTTAATTCAAAAGCAGAAAAAAAGCAAAAGAAAAAAACATGAGTAATTCAGAGTTTTAAGCATTGCTTAGCATATAGTTTAGTTATTTTATCTGATCAATCAACCTAGAGTGACTAATTGATATTGACGATTGTTTCTGAAATGATTTTCGTTTTACAAAGTAGAATTTTGTCTTTTCTTCCAATTTTTTTTCTTCTTCTCTTTACTTTTTGTTCGTTGTTTCCATCATTGTTGATTGTTTACATGCACATAGAAGTGGTTGAAGGCTTTCAGTGAATTTTGTAAATTTATTTTCTAAATCTTTTTGATATTCTCGTTGATCCGCTTGAATTAATGTTTTATTCCGTTTCAATGCTTCAGCAAGTCTAAAAAAAACATCAAACCACATTCTTTTCTTCTCCAAACAACAAATCAACAAAAGAAACCTTCGAGTAAATTCTTTGAAACACAATCGTAAACGATTATGATGAATATTTGGATGATCAACTCCATTCATAATTGGATTCAAGAAGATATTTGCAACTTCTAATGGACCTTGATTGACAGCAGTACTAATACAACCTTGAATAACCATTTGAAGTATTTTCGGATCCGCAGGTTCTTGTTGAATAGCTAAACGTAATTCATCAGTTTTCTTTTGTAAATCTTCAATCGCAACTTCAATTGGACTTAATATTAAACGTTCACGATCGATAATTGCGATGCGAGTTTTGACGTAAGGAAATGCACGTTCGACAGTTAAAATCGTTTTACGTTTGTATTGTTCATGTAATGAACCATGAGCACGATTTGTATCCATTGTGAATGGAGATGCATACATAANGATGATGATGATAATGATGACCTTCATCCGTTGTCTTTCTCTTCCCTCTCCCCTTTCGCACAGGCGAGATATCAAGCGGAATTGATGATGTTATATGTACAAGCAATCGGCATCCAACTCCACCATAACAACAACAACAACCTCGGCATTCTACAGGATGCAACATTCAATACCTAACAACAAGGATTCGTACTTGACGGAGCGAAGAAAGAGTAGAAATACACTGTGCGGGAAAACAATAAGTCACAAATAGCTAATTTATATATCAGTTATACGACTCGTCTGTTGTCTTTAGTCGATATATTATATGCCACAATCGTATTTCTTTCTTTCATTCATCTTTACGCTGATGCGTACACGTAAATCTCTTCACGTCTAATTTGTGTTAGTCTAAGACTTAGTTTTATTTTCCTTTCTATCATTTCGTTCTATGCATTTGCATCTTCGCGTTTTTTTCTCTCTTTTTTTCTTTTCTTCTCATTGTCTATGTTGGATTGTCTTGAGGTTTTTTCACATTCGATTTGCCTATAGTACACACAGGTAAGGCCATATTTACATATGCGTGTAGACAGAAAAGAAGAAGAAAAAAAAAACGAAACAGAAAATAATGATGATAATAATAAATAAAGGCTCGAGCACAGTGTCTTATTATAATATTAATCATTAGTCTTAATAGGTTTTTATGTCTACTCGAGTCTTTGCATAAATATTAATAAAAACAAATTAAAAGTCGAAAAGAAACAGAGGGAAGAGATAATTCATATTTCGATATTTATAGTTTATTTTTGTCTGTCGGTTTTTCTCGACGGTGTTGATCGTCGTATAATCTATATTCAGGAGAGATACATTTATCGTCAATAAGAAATAGACAAAAAGCAAAAAGAAAGCGAGCGAAACAGAGGGAAGACAGAGACAGAGAGAGAGAGAGGGAGAAAAAAGAAAGAGGTGATATAATTTATGCATGACATTGTTGATGACAAGCAGAAAAAGAAGCATAGCAGATGCTCGTTTCAATGCCTTTTTTTGCTTTTATTTAGCTTGTATATATTTGTCTTGATTTCCACGAGGAAAACATTGTAATAAGAGGTGCATCATTCAAATCGAATATAAAGAACAAATAGAAAAGAGGAAAAAAGGTAATTCGAATATGTATGCAAAAACAACAAACTACTGCCTTCGATGTCGCCCGTCTTCTTTTTCTATTTTTCCCCATTTCATATTTATTGTATCATCAAAATGATTAATATTTTGTTTTTCGTCCGATATTTTTTTCTTCTTACGAACGCCTATGCAAATTTTTTTCTACTGTGTATATTTTTCTTTAAATGCATTTTTTTTTGTCATCGACAGTGAAAAAACACGGCTCGCTTGTCAAGTGTATAATGATAGTAATGATGTTGATGATGATGATGATGATGATGATGGTCGGCAGCTCGAGAACGTTTTTCTATGTATACACACAAAAAAAACAAGCGACACGCAAAAGACATGGATGGAGGCGATTTATTTGAAAAAAATAAATATCGTTCCCCAGTTACTCTTGTCGCCGTCGAGTAATACATAAAAAAATGCCTCCTTCGTTTTTTTTCCTCTTTCTCTTCGTTACGTTCTTTGTACGTGATAAAGATAATAACGCATATACGAGCCGCATGCATTCAGTCACGCATATAGACTCGACTTACAGATCGACGGTAAGGTTCGCGAGAAATATGACGACAAATGTACAGTATGTGTACACCAATTTCATTTCAATTACATGACCTTGAATAACTAACTTGTTGTTTTGACTCTTTCATCTTTTTTCTTCTTTCTCGTTACTTATTTATGTAAATTTTCTATTAATGTTGTTCGTTTAAATTGATTGCGATTGATCTATTTACGAGAAGCAATCAGCAGTTTTTCCTTATTGATATGGATACTTAATGACGTATGTAGTGGCATACCTGAATAGGATAATAAGATAGGAATCTAATGAGAACGAAAAAAAAATACAGAGAATGAGAGAGAATAAGAGAATAAGAGAGATAGAGAAGAGAAAGTGAGAGAGACAAACAGCTATCTTTTCTTTGCTATTCTTAGGCATAAATCCAAGATCCGGAGCTTGCTAACATATTTAGCATAGCAAAAACTGTCCTCTGTTGTTTATATTATTCCATTTGATGCGCAGAATCCGTTTTTCTCTTTCATCGCCCCATTTTTTTTTCTTTTCTTTTTGGTTATTCATATTGATATGTAGGAATATACTGTCGCATATGTGGTTTTTCTTTCTTTCGGACTTCTTTTTTTTTCAGATCTGTTTTCATTAGTACCTATACGATTGCCGTCATCCGTTATTTCCTATGGCTGACGAACAACCCTCATCGTATGACGGAGGTGAAGGGAATGATGCACCTGACGCACACGAATATGACGATCAACCAACAACACCCGTCGTCGCTGAAGCAACAACTTCAGTCGGCGATGACGACTACGTTGATGAACCTATCGAAGATTATGTAGTTAATTTAGTTGTTAATGAACAACCTGATGGTGCAACTCTATCACCTGATTTAGCTAATGCAGTTATAACAGATATTCATGGTAATATAATTGGAACAAAACCATCAATATACGATAAGA